CTCAGCAAAACAATGGACGACCACGTGCCCACCCTGGCGCGCGCGCGCAGGGTCCCGCACGGCGGGCTCCCCGCTGCACGCCCGGCCCCCGACGCCCATTCCCTGAGGCGACCCCCTCCTCCTCCTCCCTCCTCCTCCTCCTCCTCCTCTCCTCCTCCTTTTCCTCCTTTTCCTTTCCTCCTCCTCCTCTCCTCCCTCCTCCTCCTCCTCTCCTCCTCCTCCTCCTCCTCCTCCCCTCCTCCTCCCCTCCTCCTCCTCCTCCTCCTCCTCCTCCTCCTCCTCCTCCTCCTCTTCCCCGTTCGGCATGCCTCCTCTTCCTCCGTTCCTTTGCCCTTATCATCCTTCTTTTATTGTTCGCCTCCTCCTTTTCTCTACCCCTCCCCCTACCTCCCTCTTACTCCTCCTCCTCCTCCTCCTCCTCCTCCTCCTCCTCCTCCTTGTCAGGACGAGGGTAAAATCTGGTGAGGTCGAGGCGAACATCGGGTGAGGATACGTCGAGCATCTCTGAGGTGCGGCGGATCTCGGGCATGTCTCGGGCGCCGCGGCTTTTTCTCGGGAACGCTCTGAACTCCGCCCTGATCTCTGAGATGCGGCGGACCTCTGAGATGTCTCGGGCGTCGCGGCCTTCTCAGGAAAGCTCTGATCTCCGCTCTGATCTCTCAGATGCGGCGGACCTCGGGGATGTCTCGGGCGTCGCGGCCTTCTCAGAACGTCCCGGCACGCTCTGAGAGCGCCCTGGAGCGATCTGGAACGGACTGATCCTCATCCTGGCCCCGTCTGGCCACCCTCACCCCTCTTTCGGGCATTGGCAGGACTGCGTTCAGTGGAACCTGGCTTAGTGCTGTGTGCTGGGGGGCGCCTCCCTCGCACTGTTCCACTGACTGGAGCTGCCGTCACCCGAAACACACACACACACACAAGGTTCGGCAGACCTGGTTTCGTGTATGCTTTGGCTTCGGGGCCCTACCTATCACTAGCCAGTTCCTCCTCCTCCTGCTCCTCCTCCCTCCTTCCTACTCCGTCCCTCCGTCCCTCCCTCCCTCTTCCCTCCTCCGTCCTCCTTCCTCCCTCCTCCCTCCTCCCTCCTTCCTGCTCCCTCCTCCCTCCTCCCTCCTCCCTCTCCCTCCTCCCTCCTCCCTCTTTCTCCCTCCCGCTCCCCCTCCCTCCCTCCCGCTGCCCCTCCGGCTCCCTCCCTCCCTCCCTCCTCCCCCTCCTCTTTTCCTCCCGCCTGGCTCTACCTTCTCCACCTCCTCCCTCCTCCCTCCTTAATACCTCCGCGTCCTCGTCCTCGTCCCCCTTCTCGTGCTCCTCCTCCTCATCCTCCTCCTCCTCCTCCTCCTCCTCCGTGCCTCCTCTTCTTCATCCTCCCCCTCCAACTTCTTCCCTCTTCTCCTCCCCCTCCTCCTCTCCTCCTCCTCCTGCTCCTCCTCCTCCCCCCCTCCTCCTCCTCTTCCTCCTCCTCCTCCTCCTCCTCCTCCTCCTCCTCCTCTCCTCCTCCTCCTCCTCCTCCTCCTCCTCCTCTTCCGCCTCTTCCTCCCCCTAGTCCTCCTCCTCCTCCTCCTCCTCCTCCTCATCCTCCTCCTCTTCCTCCATTATGTTTCCTTCTGGACAACTTCTGCCTGTCGCTCCCCGAGGCCGGTCGAAAGGGCGGGCCTGGCGTTTGGCCTGAGACTTCCTCACAATTTGCGACGCTGAAGATTCGAAATTGACGACGGCTTCACAGGTGGAGGACGAGTGGTTCTGAACACGTGGTTATTGCTTCATCGCCGCGCCCATTCGCTTTAAAATGCAAGAGCTTCACGGATTGAGGTCGCTTCAAAAAGCGGCTCTCGCGTTAGCGCCGCGCACATTCGTCTTTAACAGTTGCAACAGCGTCACGGATTGAGGGCGGGCTGTTCTCAACATGCGGCTCTAGTCTTAGCACCGCGCACATTCTTTTTTTGAACACGCAAGAGCTTCACGTATTGAGGGCGGGTGGTTCTCAAAATGTGGCTCTCGCTTGAGCGCCGCGAGCATTCGTCTGAAAACTTGGAAGCTTCACGGATTGAGAGCGGATCGTTTTCAAAATGTGACGCTCGCCTTAGCGCCGCGCGCATTCGTCTTAAGTTTGCAAGGGTTTCACGCATTGAAGGCGGTTCCCTTTCAAAGTGTGGCTCTCGCCTTAGCGCCGCGCGAATTCGTTCTAAAAGTTCGCCGAAGTTTCACACATTCTCATGGTTATACCAGGAATGTTGTGTTGGACTGGTTCATGATTGTCAGGGCGCAACAGTCCGGTTGATTCGCGGTGTTGACGTCCCAGGAGTGGGGCTCTGGCACGATTCAGGATCTCCAAGACGTCAGAATCAGGTGAATGAAACCGTGGCACGCTTCAGGATTTTTGCACTGCTGTCCCCCATCGGGGCAATTCCCTCAGTGGAAATGAACCCTTGGAGGGGCCTATGAAGAGGGAGCTTGGAGGGATGGTGGACTCCAACATCGCTGATGAGTCTTAGGTTTACACTGGCCCTCCTCTTTACCCTCCTCCTCCTCCTCCTCCTCCTCCTCCTCCTCCTCCTCCTCCTCCTCCTCCTCCTCCTCCTCCTCCTCCTCCTCCTCCTCCTCCTCCTCCTCCTCCTCCTCCTCCTCCTCCTCTGCGAAACCACAGCGGAGCACGCTGAAGGACAGCAGGATGAGGGGAAGGGGGGACGCGAGGGCGGGGGGAAGCCACCTCTCACTCCACCCCATCACCACTCTTGTCCAACTGATGCTCGCATTCGGTCGCCGATCCTGCCACCCCTACCCCCCTCGCCCCGCTGAAGTCTTCCTCCCGTCCCTCCCCAAGGGTGCTCAATAGCTCATCATCTGAATCATTGCTCCCATCATCGCTCCCTGAAGCCCATCATCTGAATCAATCGCTCCCTGAAGCTCATCGCTCACCACCCGAATCAACCGCTACATGAAGCCACTGAAAGCGCAGCATTGACAGTCTACCTCCGCACACGTGACACATGTTAACGGGCAGTGGCTTTGCTGTGTTCCTGCTCGCAGCGCACACCGCCAGAGGCGGCGGAGAGCTTGAGAGATCCACCTACCAAAAGTTCTCTGAATCATCGCCCCCCGTCCCTCCCCAAAAGGGTGCTCAAACAGCGGGCGGGCGGCGTCCAGCGCTGGATGCGCCGGGCCATCCTGTCGAGGTGCCGCTTGTGCCTCCTGATGCGGCGCGGGGGCCCCGTGGAGGAGAGGAGGGGGGGCCGACACCAAAAGGGCACACCGGACCACGGCAGGTTCGCGCCGTGTCGACCCCGGCGTTGGTTCCCGACACCGCGGGGATCATTCGAACTTGAACGATCGGCCCTTTCAAAAGGCCGGGTCGTGCAAAGGATGGGCCGACTCTGGGCCGCGGGAGGCGTTCAACCTCAAACGCCCGCGCTGGGGTCGCCGCCGGTCGACACGACGCGAGCCTGCCGCAAACGGGGCTGCGCCAGACTCGGGCCACGAGTGGAGCAGGGGGGCGGGGCCGCGGAGGGGCGGCGGTCGGGGGCCCAGGCCTCCGGGGCGTCGCGAGGAGAAGACACGGCGCTGGCCGGCCGCAGGGTCGGACCGCGGGGAGCCCGTCCGGGGCCCAAAGGGGGATGCGGGAAGGGCTCGTAATAGAGGACTCTGCCGCCTGCCCTCATTAGACCGCGGAGTGATGGGACACCGTGGGCGGGGCGTACGTGCCCGTCACAGGTGGGCCCAAGCAGGTGGCACAACCATGCGCCAGCTGCAAGGGGGATCCCAGTAGACGTTATGGCAAGCCTAACGTGTTGTGCTGCCCGCGGAGGGTTCTACACCTCGGCGGAAGGGTCGAAAACCGTCCGGCGGATGATTCGTGCCACCAGTCCGGGATGAGGGACAACAGTCGCCTCGCCAGCCCGTCCATTTTTGCCAGGAGGATTTGCTGGCCTGTGCATCCCGGCAGATGGCATCAGCGACTGATCCGCAGGCGCTTTGAGCGAGATCCTTAGGATCCCCTGGGAACTTCTAGGGATATCGGCGGGATCCCTGGGATTCCTCAGGATTTTTTTGGTATCTTAGCGGGATCCCTACGATACATTGAGAATTTCTAAGAATCTGAGCGGGGAGGAGGAGGAGGAGGACGAGAAGGAAAAGGAGAAGGAGGAGGAGGAGGAGGAGGAAGAGGAGGAGGAGGAGTGAGAGGAGGAGGAGGAGGAGGAGGAGGAGGAGGAGGAGGAGGAGGAGGAGAAGCGCTGCAGGAGGAGCGGAAGGGCGCTTCTGGCCGGGCCGAGCCTCAATGGCCACGACTGCGCCCCCCGGCCCCAAGGCCTGAGGAGAGCACCACGAAGACCAGACCCTCCCGAGCCCGCTGTTTGAGCAGGGACCGGCCGTCCCGGCATTCCTGTAGGGCTACCTCGGGGTGTTCTTCGAACCCAAAAGCGTTCTAAGAACCAAACCAAGCTCTCAGAACAGAAACCCGGCGTGTTAAATCGAGCCCGTCCCGGCCAGAACTGCTCGAAGAACCTTTCGTGGAAGCCACGAAAGGTTCTTAGAACATTCCTTGGTAGGGCTCTAGGCACGCCGGGACGCTTCGCCACTGCTTGAGCCGTGGTCCTCACCTCGGCGCCCTGGCTGCACACAGTCGGACCTGGGCCAGGATGGCGCCCTTCAAGAGCATGAGGCCCTCCGTCGGCCAAAGACACAGGAGAGAACGTCCGAGGGTAATAGAGGATGACGATTCATAAACGACTGGGGGTCGTGTTCACGCGGCGGCGCCCGGGATGACGATTAGAAAAAACTGGCCGCGGGCTGGAAAACTGTTTTTAATTATCCCGGCAAAGCAACCTAACAGCGATGTGTAGAAGCATATCTGGAAGCATTCTCCTTAAGATTCAGATCAGAATCCAGTTGTAGAATTCTGCTGTTCTCACAGTCGCAGTCGCATTCGCGATGACAGTCGCAGTGGCAACGGTATTCGCAATCACAGCCTCAGCCTCAGCCTGCCTGAGTATCAGCCTGCCTCACTCTCAGCCTCAGCCTGCCTCAGCCTGCCTCAGCCTCAACCTCAGCCTGCTTCAGCCTCAGCCTCAGTCTGCCTTCAGCCTCAGCCTCAGCCTCAGCCTCAGCCTGCCTCAGCCTCAGCCTGCCTGCCTCAGCCTCAGCCTCAGCCTGCCTCAGCCTCAGCCTGCCTCAGCCTCAGCCTCAGCCTCAGCCTCAGCCCTCAGCCTCGGCCTCAGCCTCAGCCTGCCTCAGCCTCAGCCTGCAGCCTCAGCCTCAGCCTCAGCCTGCCTCAGCCTCAGCCTGCCTCAGCCTCAGCCTCAGCCTCCTCAGCCTCAGCCTCAGCCTGCTTCAGCCTCAGCCTCAGTCTGCTTCAGCCTCGGCCTCAGCCTCCTCAGCCTCAGCCTGCAGCCTCAGCCTCAGCCTCAGCCTCAGCCTGCCTCAGCCTCAGCCTGCCTCAGCCTCAGCCTCAGCCTGCCTCAGCCTGCAGCCTCAGCCTCAGCCTCAGCCTCGCCTCAGCCTCAGCCTGCCTCAGCCTCAGCCTCAGAGCCAGCCTGCCTCAGGCCCGGGAATGGAGTTCTGGGAACTCGAAGAACACGAAGTGGCCTACAGTTGGCTCCGGGCATTCAAAATCATGCCCAGGAATGGAGTTCTGGGAACTTGAAGAGCACGAAGTGGCCTACAGTTGGCTCCGGGCATCCAAAATGTGGCCCGGGAATGGAGTTCTGGGAACTCGAAGAGCACGAAGTGGCCTACAGTTGGCTCCGGGCATCCAAAATGTGGCCCGGGAATGGAGTTCTGGGAAGTCGAAGAGCACGAAGTGGCCTACAGTTGGCTCCGGGCATCCAAAATGTACGCCGGGAATGGAGTTCTGGGAACTCGGCCTACAGTTGGCTCCGGGCATCCAACATGTACGCCGGGAATGAAGTTCTGGGAGCGCCAAGAGCGATTTTGCGAGGATGTCCCAGGCGATTTGGGCTTCGGCGGCAGCCGCCCGGGGTCCCGCCCCGACCCCCCTGAGGAGTCATGATGCTCTTTTGACACCACCAGAAACCTATCAGTCTTCGCTGTTAGGTAATTATCCCGGCAAAGCAACCTAACAGCGATGTGTAGGAGCATATCTGGAAGCATTCCCCTTAAGATTCAGATGAGAATCCAGTTGTAGAATTCTGCTGTTCTCGCAGTCGTAGTCGCATTCGCGATGACAGTCGCAGCGGCAACGGCACAGCCTCAGCCTCAGCCTGCCTCAGCCTCAGCCTCAGCCTGCCTCAGCCTCAGCCTCAGCCTCAGCCTCAGCCTCAGCCTCAGCCTCAGCCTCTGCCTTCAGCCTCAGCCTCAGCCTCAGCCTCAGCCTGCCTCAGCCTCAGCCTCAGCCTCAGCCTCAGCCTCAGCCTCAGCCTCAGCCTCAGCCTCAGCCTCAGCCTCAGGCCGCCTCAGCCTCAGCCTCAGCCTGCCTCAGCATTCAAAATGTGGCCCAGGAGTGAATTCTGGGAACTGCAAGAACACGAAGTGGCCTACAGTTGGCTCCGGGCATTCAAAATCATGCCCTGGAATGGAGTTCTGGGAACTTGAAGAGCACGAAGTGGCCTACAGTTGGCTCCGGGCATTCAAAATCATGCCCAGGAATGAAGCTCTGGGAACTTGAAGAGCACGAAGTGGCCTACAGTTGGCTCCGGGCATCCAAAATGTGACCCGGGAATGGAGATCTGGGAAGTCGAAGAGCACGAAGTGGCCTACAGTTGGCTCCGGGCATCCAAAATGTACGCCGGGAATGGAGTTCTGGGAACTCGAAGACCACGAAATGGCCTACAGTCGGCTCCGGGCATCCAAAATGTACGCCGGGAATGGAGTCCTAGCAGCGCCAAGAGCGACTTTGCGAGGATGTCCCAGGCGATTTGGGCTTCGGCGGCAGCCGCCCCGGGTCCCGCCCCGACCCGCCTGAGGAGTCATGATGCTCTCTTTTGACACCACTAGAAACCTATCAGTCTTCGCTGTTAGGTACAAATCGTTCTCCTCCAGTCCGAAAATTATGCAGAAATAACAGCAAACTATTGTTTTAATCGTTCTCTCCCATTTTGTGTATTAATCGTCATCCCGCATTACCCTGCCCCATGCAGGATGCACGAGAAGATCCAACAAGCACGAAGAGCATTAGGGCACCCTCTCCGGACCGACCTCGATCTGATACCAGACTGATACCTCGGTCCGACGGTACCCGTTGCCACTCCAGCCTGCAAGGGGTCGGGAATCTGCGCGCCGGCGCAGCGGGACGCTGCAGCAGAGGACGCTCAAAGATCGCACGGCCATGCGGGTCCCACAAGAGGTCCAGCAGCCGCCGACTCATGTCGAGCTCCCAACATCGAGCGTGGGATTGCAAGGCTTCGGCTGCCTTTCAAATGATTGTGGTCGTCGTCGCACTCTGCAGGAGAAGAACGGGGAAGATGCAGAGGAGGAGAGGAGGAGCGAGGAGAGGAGAGTGGAGAGAAAAGGAGAGGAGACAGGGGAACGAGGATGGGGATATACACGCATATATATACATATATATACATATATATATATATGTACATTCATTCATTCATTCATTCATTCATTCATTCATACATACATACATACATACATACATCTGACTATATATATGTATGTATGTATGCATGTGTGTGTTAGCCAACGTGAACCCCGACATTGCGTTTATAGCCGCATAGGTTATGCAACCTGGATGGGGGGATCAAAGTGGAGCATACATGCATATGCTGTGTAAGATATGCTGTACCAGAGATGTGGTGCCTTACATGATGTATAACATGTGTGGGGCAGACGTGCGGGAGTGGCTCGCATGAGACTATTTGCAAGGATCGTGCAACCCCAGCACGAGCGCAAGGGCGTTCGAACGATTTCGACATGCGCGCGCGAAGCCTGTTTGGTAGCATGTGATGAAAATGTTGGAAACTTATGGTTGTCTCAAAAATTCACAAGAACGCGCGCGCACGCTTTTGTTGAAAATCCGTGTTGCGAAACCCTATGGTTTTGTATGTTTTTTGGATACTCGATTTTGAAATCCTTCCGAAGCCGAGAGTTTTGAAGGATTTCGGCATGCGCGCGCGACGACGCGCGCGTGTGCACTTCGTCCCATTCGTTGCGAGGGATTCTCGCGACGGCACTCGCGCAAGGGCGTTCGAACGATTTCGACATGCGCGCTTGCGAAGCCCGTTTGGTAGTACTTTCTCGAAAGAGTCAAAAACCTGTTGTTTTCTAAAGAATTCGCAAGAACGCGCGCACGCTTTTGTTGAAAATCTGGGTTGCGAAACCCTGTGTTTTAGATATGTGTTGGACACTCGGTTTTGAAGTCCTTCCGAAACCGACGGTTTTTGAAGGATTCCGGCATGCGCGCGCGACGACGCGCGCGCATGCACTTCGTCTCATTTTTTCAAAGGACTTTTGGAAACTGATGATTCTTGATAAGCGAATTCTCGAGTGAAGCATTTTTTGCCAGGGAACCGAACCGAGGGGTGTCGATACCGGCCTAGCGGGGATAGTATGAACTCACAGGTAGGATGGACATTGGGTCAGAATCATGTGTTTTGAATCGGTTCCCCGTGAGTGGATAAGTTCGGGGGGGAGGGTGGTAGAACCTATTTCTGTTGCAGAGACGAAAATCAATGTGGTGCACTTGACTTGTCACCAATGCATTGTCAGCCCCACTAAATCGCCAATCTACCACACTCGTGCAAAAACATCCCATCCGCCCACCTGCAACTTGGTTTGCCGAACCGATGCGGCGGCGACTGCGATGACTAATTGGCGCTCCCAGGCGCGTCTTTGCGGCCGCGCAGACAGCGCGCGTGCTCGCACGCAGAACGGCCAGCTAGTCTGGCGCGACCGACTCGGCCGCGGTGGCGCTGACCGCTGGGGGCTTCAACGCGCGTCTCGCAGGCCGCGCTGGCGCGCGGGCGGGCGTGACAATTTGGCGGCGCCGGCAACGGCAGGCACGATGATGATAGTAGCGATGCTGGCGGCGATGATGACGAAGACGACGGCACAGCCAATGACGGCGCCGATACTGATCACGCCGGTGACGGTGATAGTGTGCACGCGTCGGCGATGAAGGTCTTGGACGGATTTCGACATGCGCGCGCGGCAGACGGGCGCAAGTAGCTCGCACGGTATCAGTTGACAAGGATCGCGCCTCTTCCCCAACAAGCGCGCGAAGTCTGTTCCTTTCGAAATCGCCGATTGCGAGGCCACTGGCGTGTGATATGCATCCTGGGAGCTCGATCTTGAATTCCTTTCGAAACCTAGGGCTTTCGATCAATTCTAATAAACGCGCGCGGCGGCGCGCGCGTGCGGACTTCGTGAGATCGTCTACAGGGGAGTCTGGACAGCGGGTGGTGATCGAGAAGCGAGTGCGCGCGCATTCTAATACTCGCTCGGCAGGGGTGAAGGGAGGGGGGGGAGGGGGCGATACTCGCTGGCTGGGCTGGGATTTTCTGCAAAGGATTCTGGACAGCGGGTGACGATCGAGAAGCGAGTGCGCGCGCACTCTAATGCTCGGCAGGGGTGAAGGGAGGGGGGGGGGGGGGGGGCGATACTGGCTGGCTGGGCTGGGATGGTGCGAACTCGTACTTCAAGAAGCAGTGGGGCAGAACCGTCTGCAAACTGCAGTGTCCCATGGGTGGGAGGGTCCTGGGGGTCTCGACGTTAGTCTTCGAACAGGAACCCATCTTGTTAATATGCGTGGTGCGGTCGACGTGGTGCGATCTGTCTGGTGCCATCGTTGCGGTGCAATCTGCGTGGTGCGCTTCACAATGCCGAACTTGAAGTTGTCAACTCCACTGCTCGCGCCCTCCGCACAAAAGAGCAGAGAATGGGGAAGAATTCGCAGGGGAGGGCGAGAATGAGGAAGAGGAAACATGAGGGAAGGATAGCGAATGGCATCATTCTGACGACGATGTCGGACAAGGCAACGAGGAGGCATCGCTATTGTTTCTGCTGTACCTTCCTGCCCGTCCGCCGCGACTTCCGCCTGCACGCCAAACTTCAAGGACCCCTGTGCATGGATCGAAGCGCCAATGCAGTCTTGCATGTATGTGTGTATGCATGTATGTTTGTATGTACGCATGGATGTATGTGTATATGTGTATGTTTGATCGTGTATATGCATGTATGAAAGTGAGTGTATGTGTATGTGTAAAACTGAACGGATGCATACATGTATGCATGTATGTATGTGTGTATGGACGCATGTCGTATGTATGTATGTAGGTGTGTATGTGCGTATGCGTGTATGTGTGTATGTGTGCATGTATGAAAAGATGTGTGTATGTAAGTTGGTACGTATGTACCCAAGGATGCATGTGTCGGCGTAGTGCATGTATGTATGTATGTGTGTATGTATGTATGTAGGTAGGTAGGTAGGTCGGTAGGTAGGTAGGTAGGTATGTGTATGTGTGGATGTGAGTAGGTATGTGTATGCGTGTATGTGTGTATGTGTGCATGCGTGTATGTGTGTATGTACGTATGGATTCATGTATGTATGTATGTATGGAATGTGTGCGTCCATGTATGTATGCATGTACGTATACAAATATGTACGTAGGTATGTATGTATGTATGTATGTATGTATGTATGTATGGATTATGTATGTATGTATGTATGTATGTATGTGTATGTATGTATGTATGTATGTGTGTATGTGTGCCTGTTTGTATGTCTGTCTTTGTGTATGCATGTATGTGTATGTGCCTATGTGTGTGTGCATGTGTCTATGTGTGTACCACCCTTCCCCTCCCCCCTTCCCCCCCCCCTGCCGCGAGGGTTGGGGTGCAGGCTGCTCCCCGGCCTCCCCGCGGGCGCGAACGCTGGGGTCCTCATGCCCGCCACGCGCCTCCTGTCCCTGCGGCCACGTGCCCACGCCTCGTGGGCCGGGGCGGAAGGGGCTTCCAGCTCGTCCGCCTCCCTTCACTTCCAACCCCCCCTCCTCCCCCTCCCTCCCCCTCTCCTCGTCCATCCTCCCTCCTTCATCACCTTCCTCGTCCGTCCAACTTCATCCTCATCCCGCCTCGTCCCCCCTTCTCCTCCTCCTCCTTTTCGTCCTCCTCGTCGTCGTCATCAACCCTCCTCCCTCCCCCCTCCCTGTCCTCCGTCCGTCCTTCTCGCTCCTCCTCGTGCTCCTCCTCCTGCTGCTCTGTCATTCATCCCTCCTCATCCTACTCCTCATCCTCTCTCTCTCTCTCTCTTTCTCTCTCTCTCTCTCTCTACATATATATATGTGTGTATATGTATATGTCTCTCTCTAACGCTGCAGATCTATCTATCTGTACCTTTAAAATAGTACATAGTATGTGCACGCTCGCTCTCTCTCTCTCTCTCCTTCTTTATGTATAAGTATATATATATATATACATATATATACATGTATGTCTGCTCATTACCCTGGCGACGTACCCAACCCCTGCGCAATGCGGGGCATGAGTAGCTTGGGACACGTTATACGAAGGTGATGACGTGAAATGGGCGCATATACTTCTGCGAGCGGCATTCGTGAGGCTCGCAGCCCCCCCCAAGGACGGCGAGGTCCCGCTCAGATCTGCGTGGTGCCTCACTCCGCTGGACCCGCCACCAGCCTTCGAAAGTAGCGACGGTTTCGCAGATCGTAGCCCCCCAGGGACGGCGAGGTCCCGCTCAGATCTGCGTGCTGCCTCACTCCGCTGGACCCACCGGCAGCCCTCGAAAGTGGCGACGGTGTCGCAGATCGCAGTCTCCCAGGGACGGCGAGGTCTCGCTCAGGTCTACGCGGTGCCTCACTCCGCTGGACCCACCAGCAGCCCTCGAAAGTGGTGACAGTTTCGCAGATCACTATGCTGGCCCCCAAGCAGCCCTCGAAAGTGGCGACGGTTTCCCAAATCGCAGCCTCCCAGGGATGGCTAGGTCTACTGTGGATCTGCGGAGGCTCCCCACTATAGCTGGCCCCCCAGGCAGCCCTCGAAAGTGGCGACGGTGTGTCGCAGATCGCAGCCCAGGGACGGCGAGGTCTACTTTGGATCTGAGGAGGCTACCCACTATAGCTGGACCCCAAAGCAGCCCTCGAAAGTGGCGACGGTGTCGCAGATCGCAGCCCCCCCCAGGGATGGCGAGGTCCCCCTTCACTCCGCTGGACCCACCAGCAGCCCTCGACAGTGGCGACAATGTTGCAGATCGCAACCCCCCACGGACGGCGAGGTCCCGCTCAGGTCTGCGCGGTGCCGCATTCCGTTGGACCCACCAGCAGCCCTCGAAAGTTGCGACAGTGTCGCCGATCGCAGCCCCCCCAAGGACAGCGAGGTCCCGCTCAGGTCTGCGCGGTGCACCATTCCGTTGGACCCACCAGCGGCACTCGACAGTGGCGACAGTGGCAGATCGCAGCCCCCCCTAGGACAGCGAAGTCCCGCTCAGGTCTGCGCGGTGCCTCACTCCGCTGGACCCACCAGCGGCACTCGACAGTGGCGACAATGTTGCAGATCGCAGCCCTGCGAGGTGCCCCATTCCGCTGGACCCATCAGCAGCCCTCGAAAGTGGCGACAATGTTGCAGATCGCAGCCCCCCCCAGGGACGGCGAGGTCCCGCTCAGGTCTGCGCGGTGCCCCACTCCGCTGGACCCACCAGCAGCCCTCGAAAGTGGCGACAGTGCCGCCGATCGCAGCCCCCCCAGGACGGCGAGGTCCCGCTCAGGTCTGCGCGGTGCCCCACTCCGCTGGACCCACCAGCAGCCCTCTAAAGTGGCGACGTGCTCTATTCAAAACGAATGCCCAACCAAGGAGGCTTTCCTGTTCCTCTCTCACCCTCGCTCTCTCTCTCTCTCTCTATGTATCCCTCTCTCTCTCTCTGTCTCGCTCTGTCTCTCTCTCTCTCTCTCTCCCTCGCGTTATCCTTCTCTCTCTGTCTCTCTCTCTCTCTCGACGTATGTGTCGCTCTCTCTCTCTCTCTCTCTCTCTTTCTCTCGTTCTCTATTTTAATTGCTGTGCTCCCTCTCTATATATGTTTTATCTCTCTCTGTCTCGTTTGTTTGTTTTGTTTTCCTCTCGCGTTCTCTCTCTCTCTCTCACTCTCTGTCCCACGTCCAATGATTGAATAGCTTTCGAGGCATTGCTGACATTGGAGGCATGCGTGGACAGGGGTCTACGTAAGGCACACATGCCACACGCAGAACGCGATGAGCACGAGGAGCCTGTATGGCAGAATACATGCAAGCAGGTAGATCAGCTCTCCTCATCCGCCCTCCACTCATGCTGCCTACTCCAACTGACCCCCCCGCTCCTCGCCCCCCCCCACCCCACCCCACCCCCCACACACCCCACCCACCCCCTCTCGCATCCCCACTCCCGCCCACATATCCCTCCCTGGTTTCCTCATCCCTTGCCCACCCCGCTACGCCCTCCTCCACCCCCGTCCCCCCCACTCCATCTCCGTTCTCAACCTCCTGTTCACCCCTCCCCAATTCTCTTTCCTTGTAAACTCTTCCTCGTCACACCACCAGACGTGCACGTAGGGCGGGCCGGGTGTCGCCTGGGACTACCTCCCCTTATCTGCTACCATGCCCGGAGGCACGAAGTGGGGAATGCCCGAAGGTCCTTTGCGAATCCGTTGTGTTGAGCGCTGAGTGCTGAAAAGACAAAACTCATAAAGAGGCCCACGGAACTGAGTTCTGGGCGCTCTGGGGCGCTCTCTGGGCTTGTCGCCAGACTTTTCCATTAATTCCCTACCTAGACTCTGCCTAGAAGGGTTCTTACTGGCTGAGCTTAAAGGGGCCGGGCAGTGGAACACGCCCCGGGCGGTTCCCCCGGCATCCGCCCCGCGGTTCCCCCAGTTGCGTCCCCTTAGCTTAGCGTTGCTTCTCTCATCTTAACTTAGCTGATTTCATCTTAGCTTAGCTTAGCTTCATCTTAGCTCAGGTTTATCTTAGCTTAGCTTACCTTCATCTTAGCTCCGCCGAGCTTTAGCATAGCAGAGCACAGCATAGCATAGCAGAGCGTAGCATCGCATAGCGCAGCACAGCATATCATAGCATAGCCCAGCATAGCACAGCATAGCGCAGCATAGCATAGCATAGCGCAGCACAGCACAGCACAGCATGGCACAGCGCAGCATAGCGTAGCATAGCATAGCAGTGTAATTCCCGACCTGGGCTCTGTCTAGAGGGTTAGCTCAGCTTAGCTTAGCCTAGCTTAGCTTAGCTTAGCATAGTGCAGCGCTGCAGTTGCATAGCATAGCATAGCATAACATAGCCAACCATATCATAGCATAGCATAGCATAGTATAGCGCAGTATAGCATAGCATAGCATAGCATAGCATAGCATATCATAACATAGCATAGCGCAGTGTAGCATAGCATAGCATATCATAGCTTAGCATAGCACAGCGCAGCATTACATCGCATAGCTTAACATAGCATCGCATAGCATAGCGCAGAATAGCATAGCATAAACTAGCATAGCATAGCGCAGCATAGCATGGCATAGCATAGCATAGCATAGCAACTAATGCTGCTTTCCTAGGGGCTCCAACTTCTAGGTAGGGTCGCACTAGGGGTAATTAAAAGAAAAACGTAGTGTTGCTCAAGATGCGATCACACAACTGCACCCGAGGGTGGTACCATTGGTGGGCTCCAGAGCCGTGTTGTGCCAAGATGGCCCTTGAGACCGCCAAAGCAACTTCTTAGAGGATCCAAGAGGGCCTTGAGACGATCCAGGAGGGTCCCAAGACTCCGGCAGAGTTGGGGAGCATTTGAAATCTGGAAGGATTCTACAACATAGAAAAGAAGGAGTTGGGGAGGATTTGGGAATTGGGGAGGATTCTACAAAAGGAGAACAGAGGAGCTGGGGAGCATTTGGGAATTAGGAGGATTCTACAAAGGAAGAAGGAAGAGTTGGGGAGGATTTGGGAATTGAGCAGGATCCTACGAAGGAAAAATGTGGAGGTTGGGGAGTCTTTGGGAATTGTAAAGGATTCTACACAGGAGAAAGGATGAGTTGGGGAGAATTTGGGGAGGATTCTACAAAGGAAACGGAAGGAGTTGGGGAGGATTTGGGAATTGGGTAGGATTCCACCAGAAGGAAAAAGGAGAAGTCGGAGAGGATTTGGGAGTTGGGAAGGACTTTACAAAGGAAAGAAAGGAGGAGTTGGGGAGGATTTGGAAATTGGGGAGGATTCTACAAAGGAAAAAGGAAGAGTTGGGGAAGATTTGGGAATTGGGCCGGATTTGACAAAGGAAGAAGGAAGAGTTGGGAAGGATTTGAGACTTGGGGAGGACTCTTCAAAGGAAACAAGAGGAGTTGGGGAGGATTTGGGAACTCTACAAAGGGAAAGGGAAGAGTTGGTGAGGGTTTGGGGAGTTGCAGGATTCCGCAGAAAGGAAAAAGGAAGAGTCGGGGAGGATTTGAAAATTGGGGAGGATTCTACAAAGGAAACGTGAGGATTTTTTGGGGGGTTGGGAAGTGGTGAGGATTCTACAAAAGGAAACAAGAGGAGATGGAGACGATTTTGGAATTGGGAAGGATTCTACACAAGGAAACAGGAGGAGTTGAGGAGAGTTCTGGAATTGGGGAGGATTCTACAGAAGTGAAAAAGGAAGAGTTGGAGAGGATTGGGGAATTGGGGAAGGTTTTGAAAAGGATCAATGAAAACAAGTCGGGGTCATTTGGGAATCAGGGAAGGTTCTACAAAGGAGAACTAAGGAGGTTGGGGAATATTCTGGAATTGGAAAAGATTCCACAAAGAAAAAAAAATTGGGGAGGATTTGGGAATTAGGCAGGGTTCTACAAGAAGGAAAAAGGAGGAGTTGGGGAGGATTTGGAATTGGGGAGATCCCACAAAGGAAAAAGGAGGAGTTGGGGAGGATTTGGGAATTGGGGAGGATTGTGCAAAGGAAACAGGAGGA